CCTATCGAGTTCCAGAAGTTCTTCGATCGTTGGAATGAAGCTCCCATTTCTCCTTCACATATTCATCAATGGTGCTGCTAAAGGCTTTCATCTCTCTCAAAGCTTCTTCATAATATGTGATTCAGTTTCCGCTTGTTGTGTTATATTTCAAATCTTGCCTTTTAATATAGGGATGTTAAGGCCTACTGACTCATGAGCCACTGTTACGCAGATTGTCCTCATCCAAACTTGCTGTTGCGTAGACATTATCAGAGTTTAGTCATCTGCCAAGTCGAGATTACACAGTTGCATCTTTATTGATGCTGTTAATCGTTTTTCTCCTGATACGTGGTGGTCTTCACAATCCAGTCGACCACTAGAAGAAAAAGGAAAGGCGAGATTAAGAATTCTTGTTTGACATCGGTCTTCACTTCAAATGCATCCGTCAGCTCTTCTCCATTCACCACTCTGCAGTGTAGCCAGTCGTATGAATTCTGTATAATGATAATCTTCCCAGGTACACCATATTGTCGAAGAAGGTTCCACAGGGTTTTCCTATCCTCTCCGCCGAATGTTTTATATCGTTAAGTAAGTTGATCTGTGAGGATGAGTTCCATTCAGATGACTGTTTAGCAAAGATCCGTAGTGACGCTATTCGGTTGGTATATGATTGATCTTTCAGGAATCAAGCTCGCCGATCACTAAGTTGGGTGTCTACTGGAGCTTCGTTCACTTCAACAGCACTGTGTAAATTTGTTTCAGTTATTGTTAATAGTGTGGTTCCTCTGTATTCTTCGTAGTTGCCGAGATCTCCTTTCTTTGGTTTATTTATGGAACGTTCTCCTTTCTAGCTCGTTGGCACTTGTTGCTCCTCTTAAATATTTCTAAAGAGAATGTGGAGCATTTTTATGGGGATCATCAATGGGCAGCCCTGCTTAAATGTCTGGTGAATTCAGTGGTTCTGGTCCGTTGAAGGGCTCTTCAGAATGATCTATCCACCTGTTTCGGTTCTATAAATCTCCGTCAATAATTTTCCTCATTTGTTCCTTCCTTCTCGACCTGATCTATCACATTTCCCCGGAAACCTATTGATTTTGTAATGTAGTTTTCTTTATCCCCTTCTCTTGCAGCTTTTCCTGTTGTAATTGTTAAGTCTTCTTTAGTTTCCCGTTTGTCTACTCGGATACTTCTGTACATTCAGTCTAACCCTTGTTTTCCTTCGCAGTTGTTCAGCTGCCAAAAACGTCTGTTTTCTAGTTTTTGCTTTCCTGAATCTTGGTCGGAGTGCTGTATAACACTAAACTAGATGATCTATATCGAATGATTGCAGGCTTACTTCAGTTAGACGGAAATGGTGTGACGAATCAGCTAACTTCGAAGTCACACCTCGTGGTCAACATTCAACGTGGATAACCCCTTCAACATGTCAAAGTACTATAGCTGCTTTGGAAACCGTACAACACAAAGAACCTTATTACGTAAATATGTTAGTATGAATGAGTACAGAGAAATTAGTGAGACCATCACTACATGAACCAGTCCATGGAGTCTCATTAACTGATGCACACTGGTTGTCCTAGACTTTAAGAGAGATCGACGAACTGTTCGATATTCACCGACCCAATCGCCGAATGATTTGCCTTGGTCTTAATGATATTTCACTAGCCCTACACTGTCTATAGAGATTTACTCGTTATTCTAGTGTTTCTTGGGTCCCACAACCCTCTGACATCTTGGGGTTGTTGCCTTCTCAACCTGTTTCCAGTTGCTCTTTTCATTTTCCCCCTCTAAATCTTTAAAGTCTATTACTGAAGGCTATCTTGAACTTATCGAATTTGTTAACATCTTGAACTAAGGACACATTAAGCTCTCATAGAGCTACTTGCCCAGTTGTCCAATGCTACTTTGACCTTAGCTTTAGCTTGGCCATCACCACATGGTTGTTCAAAGCTATGCTCGATCCTCTCTTTGCCCCTATACATTCCATAGACCCTACAAATGTTTTATTTATGAATGTGTGATTGATTCGATTCTCCGTAGTATGGTCAGATCGAACCCATGTATCTTTGTGTGTGCGTTTCTAGGTTAAAAACAGTGACTCACACAACAATTTTCGTGAAATCTAACAGATCTACCAGTTTCTTGACATTTTAGTTCCTTCGTCTAAACCTATACGTCCCCATGATGTGTTCATATTCGACGTTGTTCACCCATACTTTAGCATTTAGGACCCCCATCAAAAATGAACGGGTGCTTTATTAAGTAATTTTTACGGTAGTCCTTAGCTTCTCACAAAACTGATCTTCATCATCTACGGAAAGGGAATACACAATCAGAAGTGGTCTCACTGTCTAGTTTATGATCATATATGTGTGGTACATTACTCTGGAAAGAACCAACTAAACTAAAAATGACAACAAACAACGAAAATCAGCGAAAAACGGGTATGAGATTGAGACAATTTAATAACTGCAATAAGAAGTCAGCTGAGTAATAGTTGGATTAGTTACGTTCCAAACGTTTGTAAAAAGCGCATAAACCCAGCTGTTTTGACCGATACTTTAAACCCTGAAATAGTTAGTTACTCGAGATGTGTATTTTTATCATAAAGTTATCAAAACTTTTGACAACTATTGTGTTAGGTATTACACCGAATGTCCCATAGATTTGTTTGAGCTATTCGATCAGTAACGCTCCCTGTTGTTTCGTGCCGTTCGACCCTGTGTTCTGGATTATAGCTTTGCTTTTTGCAAGTATTAACTGCACTGTGATCGAGAAGACATAATCCCATCAATTTCTAAAATGAGGACTACCTCAGTTGATTACTGAACTGTTCATGCTGGACATTATTTCTTTCAACAGCGTTGGTTGTTTCCATGTTCCTGTCATGGGGCCCTCAACTTTCGCTAGTTGTCAATAGTAATGGTGAGATTTTGTCTTTTGATGTTAGGTATGCAGTAAGCTGGTCGTAAAATTTGTGACAAACTGTGCTATTTTCGTAACAGTAAACAAACATGACTCCGATCTCAGGTGATTCTGGTAAAGAATGTCGTGGTTGTGAAAATCAGTAAAGCATAACTGTGAAGCTTGTAGAATTATCGGAACTTGGATCGGTTTCCTAGGAGGGAAGGGAGCTCGTTTTCTACAATAATAGACATACTCTTTCCCAACTAGTTGTGTCATTGAACTCTGTCACTGCCAGATGTAGTCGTCTAAGAATAAAGCGTAGTGTACTACTTAATAGCGACTTAGATTGTCAGGGTCCTTTGGATAATGAATAAAGCCATTGATTTTATCTGTAGACACTAACTAACAGATTTTAAAACTATATAAGGACTTTCGTCTGAATTTGACCGAATAGTTTCATTGTATCAGGACGCCGAGTTGATGTGAGACATAAATGATAAATTTAGTGTTTGGTTATAATTCCTTGGAGAAGCTTGAATCAGATTGCCAGGCGAAACGTTGGACTTACTTCAAATTAATTCGCTGAGTCTCTATAAATACATTCTTCCTCATTAAAACTTTTAGAACTTTATTCAAGCTGATTTTCTGATTCATCTTTATTGTGTTATTACCTTAATGTTCTCAAAAAGGTTGTAAAGTTTTCGTTCTGAAGCCTGAACTGGTGTTTTCTCACATTTTCGTTTTTGCTTAAGTTTCCATTTTTTGATTTTAGTATAAGTATTTCAGTACTAAGTAATTAAATATGCATCAATCTTTTTCGATTCATCATACGATGTGTATTGTAATGCTAATTTCCTTTCTTAGCTTTTGTCTATTCGTGATAAGTTCTAAAATGTTTCTGTCAGTTTATTTTTCAAGATAAGTGATTTTTTGTTTAACTTCAGATCGTATTCAAAGGTTCGTTTAACGAGACCAGTAATAAATATAATATGATTCAGTAATAAAGTCCAGATCCGTGTACTCACTTATTCTCTTGTGTAGTGTAATGAAGAAGTACTTTATTATACTTTAAAGGAGCCTTGTATTTCATCAGTTGTGAAACACTGGGTTCGTTTCAAAATCGAGTTATTATTTAGACCTCTATTCATTAACCAAAACGTTTGTTTTGAAGATGTCTCCACTGGACAGTATTACTTTTGCCTTTGATTCATACCGCCTTTTTGTCATTTTCAACTATTATAGTTATAGTAAGTCGTTAGGATATTATACAGTTCCACGTTCATCAAGAGTACAAACTTGTATATGGTCCCTGCACTAGTACATAGATTTTTCAGGGTCGATTATTCAAATCAGCTGTTAGTATCATCCCCGTACCATCTAAAAGTGTTAAGATAAAGTCACTATGTCTGATTTTTCAATGTTTGAGGCTTGTAGAAAGTTTTTCACATAATTCACTAGTTTTTCTTATTTTGGACAAGTTATCTCCCTGCTAACCAAAAGTTTATTGCACAGAAGTGCTCTATCTTTTACTCTACGAATATAAAATACGATAGCTTGAAGTAGATAAAATGTATAAATCACGATTATTCGATTGTAAGTATATCTGAAACGCCGTATGTAACTCAATGAATAATACTAGGAAGAGATCTACATATGGGGATCATTCAGCTATTGGGATGAATAAAACATACTATACAGACTTAGCTACAGCGTACCATTTAGCTGGCTTCGCAGTTCGCCGAAATGTGCTGGTATGGTCGAGGGTGGGCAGAGCCATCTCCCCGTCGAAATGCTCTCGCATAATCACGCTTATACAAACACTGGCAAGAAAGTCCTACTCCCTGCCTTCCCTTGGCGGTGTTGTTTGCGAAATTGAAAGGACGAAAAGCGAATGTTCGGCTCTTTAGCCGGGTTAACGGATATGGGGACCCACCTAGGAGAGTCAGAAAACCCTGATTCCAATCCAATGGTGTACATGAGCTCCAGGATCCTAGGCAGAACAATAGGCATATGAACCTACTGTTGGTCGCCGGCTACGATGAGACTGCATCTCCCAAATTCGCTCCACTGCTTTGTGGATTAGACTTCTAGGTCAAAAGCTCGGAGTGCGGCCTCCTAAGAAAACCACCTGCTTCAGTTTGGGCACCCGGGGAGTATTAAGGCCCTCACACAAATCAAGTGATTTGTGTGGCGCATATGTATTTGGTATTTCCTTGTACCAATGCTTATGTGTACACAAATAAATAAAGGTTACTGACTACTAGCGTGAGCTTATGGATGACTTAGATTTCCCTAGTGTACGAGTTATCTATATTCCGTATTTAAGGGGTAAGCAACTTCATCTAAAGCCTGTTTCAATGAAATAAATGTATTTATTCGTTATCTCGATCGTTTTGCTTTCGTATTCTGTTTCGTTTTCCTAAGACTAATAGTACTGTTATCCTCTATTACGACTATTAGTTTTTTGTGTATTACACATTATTATATCAAAATTAAGGCAAATATTTGCCTTTGGCTGTGGCGTTAATGTATGTATTTTTTACAGTGGAATGAAAACTACCTAAAAAAACTTATTGGAACCTAACTTATCTGATTGTTTTCCTTTGCGTCTAATCATAGCCCTAATGAACTGGATATTTCCAACTGCAATTTACAGAAATCTATTTTAAGATTCATCGGACTTTTGTACACTAAGCTTTCGTAATATAAAATAATACGATGCAAATTTAACAAATTATTTGACAATAACACAAGTAAACATCAATATTTATGTCTATGGCTTCTATGTACTTACCTTTACTATAATCTGTCCATATATCAGATGTTAGCTTCAAAAATTGCTTTACCGATCATCTTCAGTTGTTGGTAAGTCTTTCGTTCCACATCAACATGCTATTCTAGGTAAAATTAGGGGGTAGAGTTAGAAAGACCTAGTGATTAAACTGACTACACCAATCCATATAGCTTGTTTATAGACTTAGTAGTTAAACTGCGAATTTCAAGCTTTTGGTGGCGATTTCAAGTCCCGGTTCACTCACATTGGGTTGAACAGCTGTCTAATTCAATATACCAAATCGAATCAAACTTAGCTTCTGATTTTTCAGAAGGATATATACCAAATATTTCTTTAGAGTTAAACAACGTCGTATGGCAGGTGTATATACTTGTGCATACTTATGCTACACTAACAAAATTAACCAAAATGCATGGAATGCAAATAATTCATTTTTCACCCTTTTTATATTTCGAGACAACATAGTTTTATCTCGTAACAAGGTGTAATTCACCTTAATTGGGTAGAATAACCGTGTCAGACGGTTAACATTTGATTCTTAAAAGTAGTTTACAGTAGCGAGCTTATATATATTTGGAGTTAGAATTTCTGTATAAAGATTGCTTGTTAGCAACTATTACTGAATAAGATGACTTCACCAGTTTAATGAAATTAACTGAGAAGTTTTTCATTTTGGTGTATTAAGCACTCTTGTCATTTACAGTTGGGAAGTCTAGGTTTATCTGTTTCATTTCACTCTCAAGTACATCATTTGTGACTTACATCACTTAGTAACTTCCTTTTTCTAAAAATGTTATGGTTGCCGACATCTTTTTTGGTAGTTCGTAATCTAGAGATGGCTGTATATGATTACGTTTGTTCACTTCATCATCTTGTATTGTATTGTATTTGGCTGCAAAAAACAGTGTTAATATACATTTTGTTCACCTAAGACAGTCATAAATCAAGATATCCGCATATTTTTTTAGTTTCATGTCTCCTTACAAAAACCTTTGTAGTACTACCGCTTTTTTTCTTTCCATAGCTGGTTCAAAATCCTGCTTTACAATGGTTTGCAGTCACTGGTGATTATTGTCCATCCTCTTCTACTCAATCTGCTCAAACCCAACATTTCGCACAAGCTTTTGGATTGTCTGTGCCGATCAGAAGAGCGCTGAGTCCCAAACAGTCACTGACCCATTCTAATTTCACATTATTTCCAACTGGTCGAAGTGTTGACAATCAAAGTCGTCATCAATTGAGCTCTGGAGATCACTGTTCAAATATCATTACACCTGTAATCGTCACTATGCCTCGTCATTCACGTTCAAATGGAAACCAGGATATAGATCTGCCAGTTTTCACAGAACCACTTGGTCCAATTGCAACTGGATGTAAACGTGATGCTTCTGCACTGTCAGCAAATTGTACTATTCCCCCCATTACAACAACAGCTAACATCGCATTGGATACTAACGATCAGTGCACTATTTATCTCCCACCAAAACCTAAAGAATCGGTAAGTTTGTTTTTTATTATCATCTAAGAAAAGAGTATACGCTTTTTGTTGTATAGATTAATGTTGGAGTTTATCCCCACAGATATACTTTTCTACTTAAATAGCTTTTATTATCATTTTCCATTCCTTATTTAGCTGATGTGTGTGAACTTATTAAAAATATACGTAGTTGGATATTTTACTCTCGATCGTTTCTGAGTGTATTTGCTCTCTCGTGCTGATGATGGGCTTTAATCTTTTTAGATTAACCGGTTTACGGGATAACTGCTGGACATTGATACACTGAGTTATCGAGAACTCTTATATTCACAGATTCATTTCTAGATAATCATACCAAAAATACTTCACTTTATGGTTTAGTAATGGTCCTGAAATCCTTAAAAAAGAGATTCCATCTTGATTTGTTCGTGTTCATTTATTTATAAAGCTTCCGGATCTTCGTATGAAATCAATATTCATAGTTTTCAATTGTCATGTGTTTGTAACTGAAATTTATTGACAAAATTAGGATTATTGAGTGAACTATTAGCATTATCAATGTGAACTACACCTCATTCATTTGATTATTATTTGCATCTATTATAAGTTTAACTGCCTATATGAATCAAAAACATCTATCTGATTCTCTGATTACTACCCCGCAATTCCCTTATCCAGTCGATCGGGAGTTGTTACTTTAATGAGACTCTACATATGAAAACAGCATCATTTGTTGATGTAGTCAACTTTTTAAATGTTTAAATTCTATGCTTTACTATATCCGTGGTGTTGAATTAACTCGATTTTCTCACAGTTTACCATAAAAACTGTTGACGACTATTATCGGAGGTACAGTTACAGTAAAAATAAATCGATATCAGTCGAAACAAACAAAAGATAGTCGTGATTTTTCCATATACCCTTTGGTATAAGGTCTTATTCCTTATGTATCACAGATACAAGTTGGTTTTTCTTTTGAATAACGAGCTATTTTTCTCAAAAGTAATATAGGTTAACTTTATATAGGATTTTTTAGCGACATACGGACAACGTTTTCATACTATTTATCTTGATTATGTTTTGTTACGTTGTGCCGGCCTTACTTAACTGTGTGGTCATATCTGTGTGTTTCTTTTTCACGAAGTCTCTATGAATGACTTCACATCTTATTCATATATTTACCATTTTAATATTTCTGGTCATTATTTATTGAGAAATCCACTTTGAGATGGTGGAGAAGATTTGTAGCTCAGGTGGGTGATTTTTATGTTGGTTTGTTCTCTGAGCTGGATGGTTTGGTCGTGTTATCATTAGATGAACCATTTTTCTTCCACTTTGCTCAGCTATTTTCCATCCTAATGGGCAGTTGATTGGAGGTCTGTATCTTACACTTGTTGGCAGAACATGCTGGCGAATGCACTCGTGGAGAAAATATAGTTGTTCTCGAGTGGAAGCTTGCCTTTTGGCGAAATTCTCCCATTTTCGAACAACGAGAAGCGTACTACGCTCGTATGATTTTGAGATGGTGGAGAAGATTTGTAGCTCAGGTGGGTGATTTTTATGTTGGTTTGTTCTCTGAGCTGGATGGTTTGGTCGTGCATCATTAGATGAACCATTTTTCTTCCACTTTGCTCAGCTATTTTCCATCCTAATGGGCAGTTGATTGGAGGACCAAACCATCCAGCTCAGAGAACAAACCAACATAGAAATCCACTTTGTTATCAGAATATATGTTTTGGATGTCATTCTTTACATTTACCCAATCTTGTATTTTTTGTCAGGAGAGAATGATGCATATACAACGGTGGGTGAACCATCTTCCTTGGAATCTGAATAACGTGTGCGATGCCTCTGGTCGGCCTCATGTACCTTATCCGATTCCCGTTCGTTCTCACATAGACGATGATCGTGAATTAACTCCCCCTCCTGGTCGAACTTACTTAACTAGATTACCATTCACACCCGAGGAACAACAAGCCATGGTCCGATTCTTCCCTTCCCATACAAGTCAGTTTCGTCACCAGCATCAGACGCACGCTGTTCCGGATCCCCAACCTAGGTATCACACCTTCCCCAATCATTGTCCGAATCAACAAACATCCAATAATCATCAATTTTCTTCATCCCAGAGGCCTAGTCAGGAAGCCTGTAATGTCTTTCCTTCCGTTAGAAATATTCCTGAGTATGTCAATGAGAATAACCGGAAACGTGGACAAGAAGATATTGGAGGTAGTCGATTATTTGCAGATTGGGAGACCAGACTTATTAGTCGACTTTTTAAAGAGTTCTTTCACGGAAATCCTAAACCTAATGGTGTATGCGGTACACTGCCTTCTCTTAGTGAAGTTCGATCTCGTATAGCCTCTTCACGATTGAAAGAAACAAGAACAGCTACAGCTGTCAGATCTAAAATTCGTCGAATGCAATCATCCGGTACATGGTTAAAGTATCAATGATAACTGTATTTTCCACTGTCTAAAACCTTTTTAATAGTCTTTTTGTATTAAGTGAGTAGTAGTGCTCACTTGTTAAAAGCCAGTAGACAACAATAAAAAACAAATAGCGCTCAAATGATATATATATGGTTTCGAATTGGAATTTCTTTTATTCTACGTCATTGTTCTAGTTTTGCAGTCAAACTTTATAATTCATATTTCAACCGTATCATTCCAGAATATATACATGTGTATGTCCGATCCTTTTACTGTAACCTTACTGTTTACAGAATCTACTGGCCACCTACAATATATTTATATATATAAAATATGTATGTATGCAAAAGGAATTTACTTGATGACAACATATGCTGTTTATAGCTCCCGTGTTCTTTCTGACCTTCAATATACATATACTTTACTAATGTTCAAAACTTATCCTTTCCTGTTAAATACTTTAATGTACTCTCATATTTATTTTCTTCTTTCTCGTTCGTTTCGTTTATGGGTACTTCGTACAGTATTATCATTTTATATACATACATATATATATATATATTATCACCATTATCAGCATTTTGTTTCCAAATTTTTCTCTATTCCCATAATTTGTCTCTTATATCATGTGTTATTAGATATCAATTTGTGCATATCAACTCTTTTTGTTTGTTTCTTTGTTTCCGTTTCTTGTATGTTAATTTTGTTTCTGAAAATTTATTACTACTACTTATCTTGTTTGTTTTGCTTTTTTTCATTCTGTGTATACGAGAAACAAGAAATCAATGTAATAAACTTTGTCTCCATTCTGTTTTATAATAAGGGTAGCCTGGTTTTTGAAATTTATTAGTTAATAATACTACTAATAATAACGATCAATTTGCTCATCTCTTAAATAAAATTTCTCGTAGTGGCTGTTCAATGACTTTAACTAGTATCTATTGTAAATGTATCATAGAATTTAGATCTGTTTGATGTACATGTGTTATGAGTTAATTCGAAAGGAATAATAACTCATTCCTTTTCTACACTCGGCCTCTGTTAGGGAAGTTCTACTCACTGCCGTCTCGTAGCGGGGGTGTTGTTCACGAAATTGAGAGGACGAAAAGCGAATGTCCACCTAGGGGAGTTGGAAAACCCTGATTCCAAACCAATGGTGCACATGGGCTCCAGTATCCTGAGGGAACAAATGGCGTATAAATCAATCGTTGGTCACCGTCTATCATCGGACTGCATCTTCTCACGATGCTCCACTGCCTTGTGGGTCAGATCTGTAGGTCAAATGCTCTGGGTGTGGTCCCTTGCTTCGGTTTGGACACCTGAGCAGTATCAGAACCCTGACACAAATCAAATGAGATTTGTGTGGCGCATATGTATCTGGTGCCCCTTTGTACCAATATTTATGTGCTCAAATAAATAAATAAAGATCTGTGAGTAATTTAAAGTGTATAGTAATATTATATGGTAATCAGTATTTTCTCAAGAACTGTTAATTCTTATTTCTGTTTTCCACAAAATAAGTGTGTACAGTTTTTTACACTGTTTGGGAAAACGAACGCTGAACAGCGAGCAGATATATGTATGGAGCAATTTGTTGGAGATCCCAAGTCTTGATATGGATAAGTAGATTTACACTGCAGGATAAATAGCATAGTAGTTCAACGTGGCCTTAGAATGAAAAATCTATACAACTTTAACTGACAGTAATTAACTTTCTTGTCACGACGAAGTAGACGATTGTTTAAAAAAATGCCTTCTTTAATCTTGTACAAATAGGTCGCCAAGTGTATGTAGCATTTTCTTGTTTAGTTCGAAGTCCACTATCATTTAAGTCTACTGTAGATTGCAAAATATTAGCCAAATGTGCATTCATTCCATACTGGATAAGTACAATATACAGAATATCTTCAATAAGGTGACGTTTTATTAACATTGATTTTATCTGCGTACTACAATCTAGGTAGGAGATTCCAAAACTGATCACTTTTTGAAACTCAGAAAATATTTGTCGGCAATTCTTCAACAAAGTCAAATAATGGTAAAAATGAATATTCCGGATGAAATTCATACAACAGGCTCCATGTAATAACTGCATCAGTCTTCGTTCACCTTGAATAAATACTATTTATTCTTTTGGGTTTTTCTTCATGGGAAGGCGATATTACAAAATCTTTCTGAATTAAAATGTTACTTTTAGATTGTGGAAAAAGTCTTGGGGGATATTTTTGAGTGTGCAGACCATTGCGAATCTAACTAATGGGCTTATCATCTTTTCTGTGTACTTCTGTCGAGCCGAAGTTGGTTATAGGAATGATATGCTTAAAAACGTTTGTTAGTCAAGAATGTTCGCCCCGTTTTTTTTTTACAAATCACGACAAAACTATTGGAGCAACTGAGTTTAAATTTTATTTCGTAATCATCGTACCAACATATCACTGGTAACCTTATCTGAAAAGGTTTCTATGCAGCTTGTTCGTAGGTTATGTTCGTTTCCAACTCTAGTTCTTACCGTTCTTCTCAACTTTAATATTCATCAAGAGATTTTAGAGAGCTATAGTTATAAGAATTCTATTCACTCTTATCTTTATTTACAGACAGTTGTTCACTTTCAAACAGGTTTTAGGAATGCCCGTTGTTTACAAGAATCATCTACTGTATAGAACTATTATTCTTTATATTTGATCATATTCTTTGGGTGGATTTTCTCCCACTGTATATCCGATCTCCATGATCATGTAAAAACAATGTAGATGCTTTTTCTGAATTCAGATAAATGTTGAACGCTTATTTTTAGGAGATATTTATACTTGAGATTGTTTTGCAGAGATCTTGTATATTTTCTGGATAAATACTCTCAACACTAATCATATGTTTATTGGTGTAAAAAGTTTGTTGGACTTCATAGTTTACATCGCCAACTGGCCATAGTTAGACAATAACTGTTAATCGTACTTATATTAATGATTACTTTTGATATGAATTCTATAGGGTTCTAGTAAGCAGTAATTTGCAGAGCTAATCAAGTCAAAAGTGAGCCAGCTATTTACCGAAAACAATGAATGAGGATTATAGTACGTCAAAAAATTGGTTGCATTTCAAAATTAGAACTAATGATCTGCGACTATATGAACTTGTGTTTGCTAAACTATCTGTCATAGGTTCGATTTTAAGTGTGTTCATGAATACGCATTATTGAATAGTTTAAAATCAGAATAACGCCCTTTGTTATTCAACCTGTCACGTGTGCCTAAAGCCAAATCAACACAACGAAAATGAAATAAACAAGATGAATAGCAAGCGACTCGAAATAATAGTAATATCACTGAGAGTGAGCACAAATAAACACTAAAATATAGTTCGAGAAGAAAGGTACGTACAGACGAACCTTAGGACCGAAGGTCTAGAGAGCAGTGTCACCCACTGGTCAAAACAGTTGTAAGGAATCCAACCAATTAGTCTGCATCAACAAACGTAGCTACAACCAACATACAATGACTTTATAAAATGATATTTTGTTTGGGAACCCCTAGTTTGCTTCCAACCTACTCCTACACCAGTAAACAACGCCTGTTGAGGTAGGCCGTGACTAGACATATACCTTAACACTCCCAACTCGATGAAGATACAGTATCTCATCGATTAACAATTTCTGCTAAGTATATCATGCCTAATCTTAGCATAGACAACTCAGTCGTTCCACGATACGGTAGAGGTGTTTAGTAGACACATATGATCAGTGGTTTGTTTACACTTAACTTGTACTTTCATAAGTCATGTTTCACAGCCATAGAGTAACAAAGAACGGACACTTCAGCTAACAAACGGATATCTTACTCATACAAAAGCTAACTGGGCTTTCTGAATACGTGCTGAGATTCCGTCAGACACTAACCTATCAAAACTAAGACGAGTTTCAAGGTAAGCAAAGTGGTCGAGGATTTCAACCACTTTAGCCATCAATTTAAAGGTTAGTAGTACTAAAGAGAAATTCTGAACATAAAGGGAGAAAAATTCATTCCAAACAAGTTTGGATTGTTAATCAAGACTGTCAAAAGGCATCAATTTGTCATCATTCACTAAACAGAACTATATTGTCTGGGTATTGGAAGTCGATAAGTAAATCTCCTGATAAGAGGAAAAAACCTATGAGGAATCAGATGAAGGAAGCGTAATGTCTCAAAATGATATCTATGACAAAGTAAAGTAATATATATATATATATATATATATATATATATATATATATATATATAGGATAGTGAACAAACTCTGTTTCTAAGCATACGTCGATCAGCTACAACGTAGGACCAGGCACGTATATGCATCGGTCCTAGTGGCCATAGCTTGTTAGCACAACAAGATGAATACCGAATTCATACAAGTAGTTAATTTAGTGGTGATAATATATAAGAGAAATGTTGTATATAAGGATATAGTACGGGAAGGAAGACACATATGAAGCAATTTTAGGGGTTTAAGGGAAGATAAAGAGTGTATACACCTACGTCATTGTGATCGATTCTGAGCCATGTCACACAGAGTCTCCAACCATTGGTTACGATAGTCACGCGAACCCCAACCAGGTAGTCTGCATCTGCCAACATGGCTCAGACTAGAAGTTAGTGACTTCAAACACTGATGCCATGTTTTGGTTTGGCCGCCCCTAACTCTCTTCCAACCATCCCCAACACTAGTCATCATAGCGCGTCGTGGTAATCGGTGTTCAGGCATACGTAACACATGGCCCAACCATCTCAGCCAAACTAATCCCTCTATGGTTATCACAGAATGATTTTGACCCCTTCTTATATATTGGGACAATCACTGTTTGTGACCAGTCAGGTGGGATTACGTCCAACTCCCAAATTTTAGCTAAAATACCAGTCAACCTAATTGCTAAAACTGGACCACTATGCTTAAAGACCTCTGAGGCCAATCCGTCTGAACCAGCTGCTCTTCCTCGTTTCAGATTAGTTATAGCCTTTTGAACTTCAGCTAGAGTCGTCGGACATACTTCAATGTTCCATTCAGACTGTCTGGGAATAATGGGTAGTTGTACAGTAGCTGAAGGCCAGCTGAACTGTTCCTTAAAGTGTTCCGCCGATCAATCTAAACGTCTGAGCTGAGAGCAGATAAGGGTTTCATCTTTTTCCGAGATTGTTTCCCTTACATTTGACTTCTTAATTCCGGTTTTTTTTATTAGCATACGATTCTGATAATAATCGTAATCTATGATTAAACTCACAATATTCGACTAGATATCATATCAGTCTGTAACTCATATACTTGCATATAAATTTGATTTATATCTATTTTTTCATATAAATCTGAAATGATGAGTCAATTGAAGCTAGACCACCATGGAAAACCTGAAGGCACTGGACGGCCGATTCTTCCTATTGTGGGACAACTCAGCAGTGCGCATCCACGATCCCGCACTCGCGAGATTCGAACCCAGGACTTATCAGTCTCACGCGCGGGCGCTAATTTCTAGACCACTGAGCCGGCGTTCAACGGTTTTAATGTTTAACTTCAACCAATCCACAAAGTTGAGCAACCATTTCACCAATATCTTCAGTGAGTTGATATCTTAACAACAGACGTGGTTGAACTCCACTGGTTACTGCTTCTCACTAGAACTCTAGGAAATACCTTATGGAACGAGGACGAAACGGCCGTCCAATGCTTCCAGGTTTTCCATAGTGATCTAGCTTCAATTGACTCATGATTTCAACTATATATATATAGAAAGAAATTACTAAAAATCTCCACAAAAAACCCCCCTTATATCTATTATTTGTGATTAGAAACAAAACAAAACAATGAGAACAACAAGTTGTTCTATGGATTATTGTTTTTTTTGTCTCTCGGTTTAATCTTACATATGATTGGTTTATTTGATTTTTATTTATTTAATATATATAATCAATATTGTTTTATTAAATCAGTGAAAATATATTTTAATTTTTTTTTGAAAAAAAGACTTAATCACATAAATGACTTCACTCACCTTTATTTATCAGCATAGTTATAAGAAAAGTCATTTAATGTGACAAAACAAAATATTAGTGTTATCTATCATGTTCATTGGAGTGTAC